TACTGTAAGCACTCCCCCACTAGGGTCTCGTATGGTCACCAACTGACTCTCACAGTCGATCACAGCTCCAAATCGACTCAACCAGTCCATGCCTACGATGACACAAACATCCCACATCGCGATCGGTACCAGATCTATCAGAAATTTAACTCCGAAGATCTCAAGCTCACATCCACGAATCACGTCAGTCCCAAACATCGCATGCTCGTCGGCTATGGAAACTCTCAGAGGTCGACTCAACGCCTCTCGTCGGATACTGATGTGACGACTAAATGCTAATGACAGAAAGGATCGACTCGCACCCGAGTCAAATAACACCAAGGCAGGCACATAACTCACAAGAAAAGTACCTATACACAATCACAATATAAGCACAAAATTTCTCAAAAGAATATAATAAGAACACGTACCAGCTACAACATCAGGCGCTGCGCGGACCTCCTCCGCTGTCAACTGAAAGGCTCTCCCACGAACCCTCGGTGTCTCGGCCTTCGCTGGCCGAGTCTCAGTGGCACGCACAGAAGTAGGTGCAGATCCCTGGGCTGATCCCTGCACGAGCTGAGGGCACTCGGCCTTCCGGTGGCCGGTCTGGTTGCAATGAAATCAAACCGAGAATCCCTTAGGGCAGTCCTTCGCCATATGCCCCTCCTTGCCGCATTTGTAGTAAATCCCCGATCGGCAAGAACCCTCGTGACTCTTGCCGCACTTGCCACAAGTGTGGCTCTTCTGGCCCTCAACTCTGGAATCACCAGGCTTGGCCCGCTTCGTCGCCGGCTGCGACTGCACTGGTCTCCAGTCCCTCCCCTGGTACTCCTCCTCCTCCCCGGTCTGCAACTCAAGCTCAATCTCCCTCCTCCTGGCATTGGCCTGAAGCTCGGCCAATGTCTTATACGGCGAGTTCGCCACGAACTCTCGTATGTCCCTCCTCAGTATGCTCAGATATCGGCTCACACGTGCCTGCTCAGTGGACACGTGTTCAGTGCAAAACATCGCCCTCTCGTGGAACATCCTCGAAATCTCAGTCACTGACTCTGTCTTCTGCTTGAGAGACAGAAACTCTTGTGCCAAACGTTCCCTCTCCACCGGGGGAACATACTCATCTCGAAACATAGCAGTAAACCTCGCCCATGACATTGCAGTGAGCTCTGCAGAAGTGAAACTGGATGTCACAAACTTCCACCAGTCCTTCGCTCCCAAGCGAAGCTGGTTCAGCGCGAACCGTACCCTCAAATGTTCCGGATAGGAACAAGTATAGAAACACCCCTCGATGTCAGAAATCCATCTCATCGCAACAATTGGGTCCTGAGTCCCATCAAACTCTGGTGGCTTCGTGTTGCTGAACTCCCGGAACAACAACGAGTCACCTCCCTGTGGCCTGGCAGCAGCGACATCTGCAGTGGCGGCAACAACAGCAGCCTCAGTGACAGCAACGTAATGCTCATCAAATGTCTCAATCAGGGTGGTCTTGATAGAACCAAACATATATGGAATCTCTGCTCGGATAGCTGCAGCCACCTCCTCGTAGATCATCCTCCGTATCTCCTCATCACTACTCCCACTGCTACCAGGGTTTTGGCGCGTACCCACCATGATGTCTCTGAAACACAACACAAAATTATCAGAGACTCGCTCGAGCATACTCACACTCGATCACTCGCCCCTACTTGATCCTTAGCATCCTAAGGATTCTTACTTGGGTCGCTCACTGATCCGGTGTTTCCAGTAGTACGGGCCCAATACTACCTTCCACACCGCATCAGTGTTCATCCCAAATCCTCCTCCTCGGATCCCAATTACAAGTACTCTAAGCCTCACCAGCTACTCTCACAGTAATCCTCTCATTGACTCACTCCTACTAGATATTCATACTCAGAACAACTCACTGATAGCAGAAATCCCTAGGCTAAGGCATCACAAATTAGGCCACCCTAGTCCTAATATATGAATTACCTAGCCTATTCTCTAGCATGCATTATATCTCATAAAATATCTCATAACACAAAAAAATGAGGGTATTTTGGGAAATCACCGCTCGGCTCTGGCTGATTGTACACACTGCTCCGACTCGTCTTCTCTTAAACTCTTTCTCATTTTTAGAAAAATTTATCTCTTTTGAAAATCTTTCTCAAATCCTCAGTTTGAGTCCAAACACACCCGAGGGTGTATCCGAATCCCTCAAACCAAGGCTCCGATACCAACTTGTAACGTCGTAAATTTTCAAACAAAATTGTCATTTTCAAACAAAATAAAACTCATTTCATAATTCTCAAAATCATATATGTCTCAATGTCAACAAGTAAAACACATTCCCAGAATCATAAAAACAATCTCCCGCCAGTGTGTACAAATCATGCCGGTGCCTTGCCGCGATCCTCGGAACTACCTGAAACACATAACACATAACACGGTAAGCATAAAGGTTAATGAGTTCCCCAAAATACCACACACAGCACATCAGCCACTCGAGGCTATAACTCAATAAGACCCTCCGGTCAATGTGTCTCAGTGGGACCCTCCAGTCCCACAACTCAGATGGACCCTCCGGTCCCTCAGCTCAGCATCTCAATATAATACACAGTAAACATATCGCAAACAAATAAAAGGATAACTCAATATACAACTCATTCACATAAGACCCTCTGGTCACACGTAAGACTACCACTCAAGGTAAGTATAGTGAGAAGACTCACCTCGTAAGCTAGTAAAAGAAAACCTCGTACTCGGAACCTCGAACTCTGCCCACCAGTCTAGCCTCCGCCTAGCACATAATAATTATCCCTAATCAATATTGGCTCTCAAAAACTAGACTAACTCTTTTACACTTACAGAAGGGTGAAAAGACCATTTTACCCCTCCATAGGCTTAATAGTCCACACTTTTGACCAAACCCTAAAAGTCAACAAAAGTCAACGGCAGGGAGTACGCTGCGCGTACTCGATCTCTATGCTGCGCGTACTCGGCTGCCATGCATGCATCGAGGATGCCCGACCCCTACGCCGCACGTACGTGGTTTACGCCTAGCGTACGCCCCAGTTCCACTCTTCTCACATTTTTGGTCTTAATCAGTTAAGACAGGCTTATATCTCAGATCTGGACTCTCTAACGTCTCTTAATCCATAAAGTCAATGACTTTAAGCCTTTGCATGGCTGATTGGGTCACTAACACTCAAAACATCCATCATCTTGCCTCATGAAGCTCATACCTCATGCATGGATTACTCCTAACGTCCAAGATTAGATTTTTATCACTCAAGTCCACAAAATACACCGAAAATGGGTAGATCAAGGTCTTTGGAGCTCATTATCACATAAAGTCTCCATCTCTTGGGACAAAACCCTAAGATACTCCATGAAATGCACAAAACGAAGTAGTAAGAAAGCTTGAAGCTTTATACCTCTATGTGAAGCTATCCACTCAGATTTGCTCAGATCTAGAAGCTTGGACTCCAACTCCTCCTTCTTCAAGACCTTCTCTTCTCATCAAAACCACACAAACACTCTCTCAAGGCTCAAACACTCACACACAAGCTATAGGACAGGGGTTAGGGCACTCTTAGGGTTTTCTCTCTGGGGATGGTGGCCAGAAATGAGGCCATCATATTCCTTATATAGGGGACTCACTCCAAATTAGGGTTACATTCTAGGCCTAGTACGCCCATCGTACTAGGTGGCCTCCGCATCCAAAGCACACACATGAGTATGCTGAGCGTACACTCTAGTACGTGTCGCGTACTCATTTCGTCACTTTTTCTCTACCAAGGGCCAAAAGAAACAATACTCAATATGCTAAGGTTCACAAGAAATACCTGGACTTGGGGTGTTACAGTATTGAAGGAGCTTTTCACTCCCCCAAGTAAGACAAAGGTTTACGAGTAAATATACCTTGGTAATTTAGTTCCACCATCACAAATAGTCCAACTTCAGGATTAGGTTGTGCCATTTCTGCTCGTAGCTTCGTTTAGTAGTCGATCGAAAACACTGCTGCCTCGATCTTAAGTAACTTTGAAAACCCTAACTGTTGACTCGCCGTTTACTTCTCGCAAAGGAAATGAGGTCGACGGGAAGGATATGAGTGAAATAAAGGTCTGATTTAATATATCTCACTAAAATGACATGGACCAAATATACACATCATTAAGTCGTTAAACTTAAAATAAATGACATGTGGTATTAGGAACCGGGAAACCTTTTAACATCAGTCATGGTGGTATAATTGCCATCTATAGTAAAATGTTAATGGTCAATTGTGAAAAAAAAACAACATGGTTGGTCAAATCGGACCAGATATAAAAGATAATTATGCTACAGTAGCATTTTCCCATAGTTTATTACTCGTCCTAGCAGTTATAAGTTGTTTTTTAAAAATGTTGATATAACGACTTCAAACGGTAACAAACTTTCAATTTTGTTCATATTAAGTCACTGATTTTTTTGTGCTTGATTTACCCCTGAATTATTTGAAATTGTTCACATTTTACCCTTATGACCGGTTGTAACCGGTCATAAGAGTAAAATGTGAACGACAAAACTGCAAAAAGGGTTTCTATGGTATGCATTTGTTTTCGGGTTTTATTTAAAACCATTTCTTTTTTGGATTGGTGGTCCTTTTGAGCTAGTTTAGTTGTGTATTTGGTCCCACAGAAAATTGAAACGACTGTAATACCTTTGGGATATTTTCATTTTTCTTTTATTTTTAAAATTTCATACATATTTTATTTATTTTAATAATTAAAAAATAAAAGGGGCTCACCCCTCTCTCTCTCTCTCTCTCTCTCTCTCTCTCCATAATCAATACGTTTTCCTGCAAATTTTGAAACTAAGGTCAACTATTTACCCCCTGTTACTCATTACAATTGATTAATGAGTTTGAATTGTATGAAAAAAGAACTATATTGGCGTGTTTGATTAATGATCTTATTGTTTTAACCATGGCCACAAAGGCAAGCTGGGCTACACCTCGAAGGGGTGCCATTCTATGGACAAAAAATCGAATTTTAAACCTCGCAAATTAGGCATTTTGGGTGCAAACGCAGTAACCCAAATTCCATTTTTCTCAATTTCTTGTCCTACTCTACAAACTTGCATTGATCATGCTCGATGAAATGCCTCAATGAGAAATATCGCATGTTAACTCCATTTTGGCTTTCATGAATGAAGAATCCATTCCAATTTATGATCCTAAACAATTTTTTTACTAGATGCTTAGAATGTAGGAGGAGAGCACCATAGATGGCCTGATGAGGATGAAACATTCATGAACATGCATCAAATGAGGCCAACATCATCATCATCATCTATAATGGTACAAAAACGGCCTGGTAAACCTGTTGCCAGTTCATCAAAATGGGAACGAGCCATTCCTGTAAACGTTGGGCCTGTACTTCTTTAGTACCCTCCGTATCTTGCTGCTCAAGTTGTACAATATGACAAGTATCAACCTGTTCAAAACATATTCAAAGATGTCAATGTGAGTGTGAATGTGAATGTGGGCCCATATTTGATTTCTCAATCATTTGTTGATTGTTATGTGATTGTAGAGGCGTCTAGCGACAACGTTGATGGAAAAGGTCGCCTGTTATGGAAAGAGATCGACTTTGGTTTCCTCCAACTAAGATAGAAATATGTTTAAGGGGAATGTTAAGATGGTGGGATGAGGCACTAGAAAAATGTCCATCGAAAAAGGTTGCTCCAATAAAATCGGCGTCGTTGATGCCAGATATAGTAGAATATATGGTGGTAGTGATGTGGGTTTACTTTTGTTTTAGGTGGTGGAGAGAGAGAGAGAGGGAGAGGGAGAGGGAGAGGGAGAGGCTCCTCTTATTTTTTTAATTATTAAAATAAATAAATATGTATTAAATTTTAAAAAAATTAAAGAAAAATAGAAAACAAATACCCCAAGGGTATTATAGTCATTTCAATTTTTTGAGAGACAAATACACAACGAAACTAACTCAAAAGGACCACCAATCCAAAAAAATTAGGGTTTAGACCAAAACCCGGAAAAATTGCATACCACAGAGACAATTTTTACAGTTTTGTCAAATTTAAATCGTTTTAGTGACGGATAGTGACAAAAATATCCGTAACTAAAGTCTGTCTGTAATGTATTGTAAAATATCGTCCGTCGGTAATCGGCCAGAAAATATGGTCAAACCTGGTCGAAGAAGATTCCGTCGCCAATCTGTCGGTATATTTTGGAAGTAAAATTCGGTTGGTAATCCATCACAAATGCGTTGGAAATCTGTCACAAATAATTATCCATGAGGCTTTTTCCTACCACACAAAGTCCGTCGGTAAACCCGTTTAGTGATGGAATATCGACGGATATTTCCGTCGGAAACACCATTTTTTTCTATTCGCGTCAAGAGCGAGTCAATGTCCAATTTTTCTAAAAAAAAATAAATAATAATTGTCTCTATTAACATACTCACACTTAATTTCATGGCAAGCACAATAAACCAGTGATATGTTGTTATGTGTCTCATAACAAACATGGCCTTGAATACACCAGTTTGATTTTAATATGAACCAGCAAAAGAAGCAATATGCTGCTAAGATTCATCTTGGGATCACGTAATCAATTAAGATAAGAAAACCCACTTCTTAATTCATTATTTTTTTAAATTACATAAATACCCCTCAACACTGAATTTGAGACGATATTGGCACGAAAATGAAGGGAGGGTCCCAAGCATAAAGAAATTGGACCATCATGAAAGGTGCAATAGCCCGACCTCCATTAACGATGCAATTGTTATTCCCCACAGGTGCAAAGATGCTTGGATCAACTTTCTCAACAGTTTGGTAACCGTTGCAAGAGACGATAAGGGCTTGTTGAGAGCATTTGCAAGTGTTTATGAAACTCACCTTCCATTCTTGTTTACCTTGTATTTGTTCAGACGTCCTTTCTGTTCCAACGGTTATGTCTTTTATTTCACATTGACCGTAGCCTACAAGAAAACTTTTACAATATGAATTTTTTTAAGATAGACTAAAGATAGTTGACTAGATTGAAAAATCATGATAAGAATATAATCTATTAATAGAAAAATAATTAATATGAGTACCTTTGAAGGAAAGCGTGAAGAGAACAACAATGATAATTTGAAATATTGATCCCATTTGGAGGTTTCTCTCTCATGTACTTATGGTATGGGGAATTGCTTGCATCCCCTATTTATATTCACTAAAGTGTGATTTAGACATTAATATATTTCAAAAACAAATTTTAATCGATGTGTTATTAGACAGTCCTATGATATCTTAAAAACCTTACCAAAATAACCATCTTCCTTAAATCACTTAAAACATCAATGTATGGTCATTTCGACTAGCTCTAGTAGCTTCCATATGTCATCGTCAAGGTCGTAACCTACTCACCCAGCCTAGCTCATATGTCCTTATTCACATATATATAATAATCTTTATGTTGACAATAATCCAGTCCAATTAGCAACATATCGGATACAACGAGAAATTTATTTTCTTTCTTAGAAATAATAATAATAATAATAATAATAATAATAATATGATAGGAACAAAAAAGGTACTGGTAGGTAAAAGTGATGGCAAGATGTAGTTGGCTTCATCTAAAATTTGTTTTTAACCTGCGTATTTAGGGGATGTTTGGCTAAGCTTTTTAAAACAACTTATTATGGTTCCACACCACTATAAGTTAAAAAAGTGTTTGGATGAAAGTAACTTATCCGGTGTATAACCTCTAATACGTCATTTTTTCATAAGTAACCCTCCACTTACTTATTAACTTATAAGCTAATAAGTTATAAGTTATAAGCTAATAAGTAATCCCAAACACCCCTTAGTATTAAATCGTAAACTAATGGTTGATTGGTTATGGAACTTTTATGTTTCTCTTATAATATAATTTTTTGTTTAAAATGGTCGATTAGTTATAGAGGTATATATATTTCTTAATCATGTGGTCATTATTGGCTGTGGTCACTAGTACTATAAGAAGTGAAAGTGACCATTGGTCATGACATGACAATTTTGAGGTATCCTCACAATAGAAGACAATGTGGAATGAAGTATTTTGAAGAAAAAACAAAGTTGAAAGTGTTGTTTAAAGAAAAGCCCAATTATTGTTATTATAGGTTAAAAGAATATAAAAAGAGTAAAATACCTGACGAATAAAGAGAGTAAGGTGGTTTCAAATTCCCTCCATAATCTCTAACTTCTAAACAACTAACAAATTTTAAGTTGCTATCTTTGAGAGTAATATAAAGTCCTAGGCCAAACCAAATACCTATCAAATTCCTACTAACATGAGACAATGTTCTGAGGAGTTGAGTAAAGACAGTTAATATGTTTGAGAAGTAGAGACTTATTAATATAGTAGTATCAATTTATAGAAAAAAAAAGGCCAAACCAAATCCCTATCAAATTCCTATTAACATATGACAATACCCTCGGAGGAAATGGCGGCCCTGGGGTGTCAATGGTGCAGTTATATGGGGCCTCCGATTGTAAAGAATATCCAATTTTTTGCGCATTTAATATCATATTAATAAACACCAGAAGCCAAAAAGAATAATAAATTAATTAAAATATAATTGTATGATATTAATCTCATTCATGTTTTATAGTTTCTAATATCGGAATTTCACAAGTGTTTCTTGAGAAACATAATAATATAAGAATTTTTAGGAAAAAACATTTAACCAGAGTGACGGTAAATTATCAAAACTAATATTTTCATCTTTCACCTTAAAAATCATTAATAATTAAATATTTTATAAGACTTTTGGTTTAATGGAGTAAAGATTTGAGCAAGACAAACACTATGAAGCTATTTTTTGTTATGAAAAAAATCATAGAAAGAAATTACAAAATGGTCATATCTCATACATTGATGGTGATGATTCATTCATTAAACTACAATTGTTAAAAAAAATACCAATTAAATATAATACAACTAATACAATACTATATTTCTTAAAAAGATTAATATTTATTTAGTTTCTTGTCTAGCATACAAACTATTTGTGATTTTTTCCATTAAAGTTGCATCAACCAAAAAAAGTTTTTTTTTGGAACATGAGAATTTTATTAAAAGAACTAACAAGAAGCTAGCTAAAATACCATTACAACAAAGTACAAGCTAAACTTGGATTTTGAAGCCAAGACACCCAAGATAACTTAGCTTTCTTACACCTTTGGAAATCCAATTTTTTTTCTTATCAACAACATCATTAAATATAGAGGATTTCCTAAGAATAACCATCTCTCTGAAACTCCACATAATGCAAAAAGTCATAATGATAACTGCATCAAATGCCTTGCGTTGGCCTCTAACCAACCAAGTCGAATCCGCTCAAGTGACAAAAGACTATAATGTATTTGGAGAAGGAACATGAACTCCCCACCAAACGTCAATCCTACCCCAAAGCTCTTCGACATTACTATGAAAAAAGACGCATTACACACCTTAGGAATCGAGGGGTGACCACGAAAATATGACACATACGCTACAATGTAACACTTAGTTTAGGTATTGGTCAGTTTTCAACATTTTTAGAGTTTTGGGCTGGGACTCAACGAGTTGGGGAGCTCCAGTTCGTCGAGTAGAAATCATATTGGAGGCGGGATGAAGGACCTACTCGGCGAGTTGGAAGACACCAACTCGACGAGTAGGAACTGAAAAGGGAAACCCTAATTTTCAGGGTTTGTACCCTATTTAAAGGCCTTAAGCCTCATTTGTAGCCTCCCTTATCACCCCTTTGTCCAGAGAAACCCTAATCACGTCTCATCTCACATTTTATGTGTATGTGAGCTTGGAAAGTGATTCTTGGTGCTCTTTTGGAAGGAACTTGAAGCTTGAAGAGGTTGGATTGAGTGAAAGGCAATAGATCCGGGATTTCCTCCAGTATGGCAACCATTTTAAGGTATAAAGTCGAAATCCATTGCTTAGATCTCTTTCTATGAAAGTTTATGGCCATTATTAGCCTAGTTTGGTACAATTCTTGGTTTTGAGCATGATATGAAGATATGGCTTTAGATCTGGACATCTCAGGGCCTTTGGGGACTTAAAGTTGCCAACTTTATCAAGTCTTGGCCCTCCTTCATGCTTTAAGTCCCTTGACAAGCTTTGATTAAGTGTTTTTTATCCTTTAATACCTTGCATGGATGTAAAGTTAGCAACTTTACGTGGTATCTTAACTCTAGGGGGTTGGATTTGAAGTTTGGGACCTTGGATCCCACTGGAAAGGACTGAACACAAAAAGGACTGAAGGAACTCGTCGAGTCCCTTAGTCGACTCGACGAGTCAGGTAGGGTTTACCCGTTTTCAACATTATGGATGAGTGCAATGAAGGATTAGAGTTTTGTTCTGCATGATTTTGCGGTCTTCTGGATATTAAGGAACTCGACGAGTTACATAGGTAACTCGACGAGTTGACGAGTTACTCAGGTGACTCGACGAGTTGCTAGATGCACTCGATGAGTTGGGTCAACATGGACTATCGACCTTGACCGTTGACTTTGACTTGACCAGGAGTTGACTAGGGTTGACAATTCAGTATTTTAGGCCTTTTTGGTATTGGGCATTCATGGATTAGGTCCATTGATGGATTTATGGACATTATAGTGTTGGGCTTTTGTTTGGGCTTGGGCCTCAGTATTGGATCATACTGGGCCAAGGGTAGAATGGTCATCTTACCCCATGTATGAATTAAGGATTATATAATGGAACCCAATTTGCAAATTGGGTATATTGATTGGTATTGATAGCTCGGGAAGTCAGAGGGGCAGCAGCTAAGGATGTCATTCGGGAAGCTTCTGCATTTGAGGTGAGTCTTCTCACCATACCAATGGGTCTAAGGCACCAAGGCCAACCCATTTATCTAGTTTTAATGATTGTTGCGGATGTGCTATTGATACATTATGTATTTATGTGAAGACCATGCGGGGGTTCCCATGGCAAGTAGATATATATATATATTATATATATATATATATATATATATATATATATATGGTATGCTAGTTGATTGTGTAGTATTTGGTATGCTAGTTGTCTTTGTGATCCTTGCATGGAAGACCCCGGGGGGTTCCCGAGGCAGTTGGGTATAAGACCATTTGGGGGTTCCAATGGCATTCCAGGCTAAGACCATGTGGGGGTTCCCATGGCAGTGAGCTAAAACCATGAGGGGGTTCTTATGGCACCCGGTGTAAGACCTTGGAGGGTTTCCAGGGCATCCTCATATGTTTTCATGTTTAGCTCATATGTTTGTATGTATGGTTTGTATGGTAGTTAGTAAAGACCATGTGGGGGTTCCCATGGCAGTGGGCTAAGACTATCAGGGGGTTCCTATGACACCTTGAGTAAGACCTTGGAGGGTTTCCACGGTATCCTTATATGCTTATGTGATTGGTATGGTTTATGTAGCTGTTATAGCTAATATGGATTTTGTGGATTGTATTGGGTATGCTCTGGGGAACTACCTAAGCTTCGTGCTTACAGTTTTGTTTATTTTTTCAGGTATCATCGGTTTTGAAAGGAAGGGCTCGACTTGATCGCAGTGCACACACCTATGTTTTCCGCAATGAATGATTTTGGGATGAACTCTGATAAATATTTTACTTAGCGATGCTTTGGAATGTTTGGAATAAATGGTATCAATGCTTTGGCTATATTAAAAATGAAATTTTTACCCTTGATTTTGGGTCGTTAAAAGTTGGGATTAGAGACTTGGTTTGAGGGATTCGGACACACTTTCGGGCGTGTCTGGACTCAAACTGAGGATCTGTAAAGTTTTCAAAAGAAAAATGTTTTCATGGAAAGAGTTTTCTAAGACAAGAAAGGGCGTGGTGCATGAAATCAGCCGAGCTTCAGTAAGTTTTCCCCAGAATACCCGCATATGTTATCTGTTATGATTTGATGTATGAATCTGAGTATCGCATGCTAGTTAGGGCTAAGGGGGAAGCCTTTATATGTTGTATGAGCTGGTAGAATTGCATGCTAGTGCTGAGTAGTCAGCGATAGATTGGCCTGATATGTGATGTTTGTAGCCTTGGGGATACTGGACACCATGCTAGAATTAGAATGATTATTGGTATTGATAGTTGCTAAGTGTATGTTTTAAATATTGTATATGGTTAGGATCTTATAGCCTTAAAAT